GCCTCTCCTATACATAAAAATTTTTTAAGAAAGTATTTGGATTTCTGTTGAGAATGTTTTAATCCCCCACATGCTAACCCCCCTCCTAAAACTAAATTATTAACCCCCCTCCTAAAACAAAAATCAAATTAAAATAGACATACCCAATACTTTGGGATAATTAATAAGTTCATACATTCAGAACAAGAAAATTGGTTTTTGTTCCTGAATAGTGAAAAAGAATCCCATAAACACATTAGACTCCAAATCCAGAAAACACTAACTACTGGAGACCAAAAAAAAAAAAAAAAAAAAAAAATCCTTTGGGGGATTCTTACCAAAAATTCCCCCACAGAAAAAGCAAATTCCAATACTCTACTTTGACAATTTGACAATCATCCCCTAAATTACAGGAAAACAATTAATGAATCATTTAAAAGATTAACAGATTTAATTGAATCATCAGCCCCCAAACTTGGGGACAAATGATTTACTCACTTCAATTGCCAGCGTCTGTAGCGTCCTAGCACACCACCCTGTCGTCCCCCGTCCTCTCCTGACATGAAATCCTCATGGCACTACCATATCGTGGGAGTGTTAATCTGCGGTTCCGGACCCTTTGCCTGGGTCTGTTATGGATATGAGAGAGGTTGGTAAAATCTCTGAGATCTAATATACAAGTGGGGTTTGTAATTTACGTGATCGAAAAGGTTTCAGAACGCTGGGAGTCCAAGGAAACCCCACAGGGCCAGCCCACCACCCACCAGCACACCCATCGCCCAGGCACCCACCCCTCCTCGACTGTTCAGCCCCCTTGGTCGCCTCAGCCCAAACTCCCGCTCCACCCCGTAGGCTCCCGCCGTCCCACGCCCTTGCTGGCTGTTATTTCCCGGCTTCTCCTCGGAGTGAGCAGGAGAGTGGAAGGACCACCGATTGGAGCTGCCTCTGAGAGCAGCCTCAGCAAGGGGGCACGCAGGAGGAAGCTGCTTTTCAGTGCTGGCGGCTTCACAGCGGCCACAGCCGTCCCAGAGCCGCCTGACTGCTGAGGATTTCTCCTGGCTGGATCTTCGTTAAGAAAGCCTTTCCTCACCGCCAGGGCCTCGGAACACAATACGGATTCCACGCTGGACTAATTTTTACCAAAGAGGTAGTAAGCACGCAGTTCGGCATGGGGCGCGCGACGGGGGCATCAAGCTGACCGTGAGCATAAGCAGCGTCTGCCAACCATAGATAGCAGCTGCACGCTGGCAAGTGGCTGAGAACGGGCTCTCAGAAATTAAAGACTAGAGAGGTACTCTATTTTCAACACACTTAGAAACCAAACAGAATGACAAAGACACAACTGTGCAAACTGGTTAAGTGTAGTGTCATGGGAAGGGCGGTAAAAGAAAACTTCTGACCAGTGCTGCAGCTCTACACAGAAATGTTATCCATGCTTTAAGAAAAAAAAAAAAAATCAATAAAACCATACCTCCTCTACCCCAAGAACCTAGGGACAGATGGAGTACCTAGTGGAATTCCTAAGTGTAATCAGGACCTCTCCTCACCCTTATTTGCTACTACATCATCATTATTCCCAAACCTTCACATGATCCTGTATATTCCACATTTTGAGCTTCCTACTTTGGCTTAGTCCAGAAACTCTGGCTCATTAAAAATGCGTAAGCCTCTAGGAAAGGAAAGCTAAGCTTTATTACTCACATTTCAACCTATGCCTTCTCTTGAGAGCAGGCCTTGATATAGTTAGAGACACAAAAGAGCACTTATACCCCGGGCTCCAGGGCCAAGGCACAGATTGCTAAGTGAGTAAAGCTAGCATTCAAAAGACATGCAACTGGGGCACCTGGGTGGCTCAGTGGGTTAAAGCCTCTGCCTTTGGCTCAAGTCATGATCCCAGGGTCCTGGGATTGAGCCCCGCATCAGGTTCTCTGCTCAGTGGGGAGCCTGCTTCCCTCTCTCTCTCTGCCTGCCTCTCTGCCTACTTGTGCTGTCAAATAAATAAATAAAATCTTAAAAAAAAAAAACATGCAACTTATAAATTGATAAGGGCCTAAGATTTCTGATGCCAAGCAGCAGAAAAACAAATGCTCAATGTAAGAAAAATTATTTTTAGGTTAAATTCCTAAGTGAAGCAAAAACTTCACTATTAAGCAACATTTTGAATAACTGAAGAAATAAAGATAGCCCTTGGAAATAATTGCTTAAAAAAATCACAGAATTTAAAAAAAAGTAAAAATTCCACCAGAACATAACAGATGAAAAAGATGGGGGAAAAAAAGCTATGAGATATTGAAAGAATGAAGAAAACTTAGGAAAATTAATCAAAGAAACCCTTCCAGGAGCAGAAAAGAACTGTCTGCTAAAATACCAAGTACCAGTCAGAATTTAAAAGCCCACTCATAAAATTTAAAAGCACCAATATCTTTTGGGATCGATACAATAACACTGAACCTAGAAAGGTAATAATAAGGTGGCAAGAGCCTGCTTCCTCTCCTGGGAGCAAAAAATACAAACTACAGGGTAAACAAATTGCTCAAAAAGAGTATGATGCAAGTTTAAAACAAACAGGTATGTGGAATAGTTTTGATCAATTTTCATTTCACCGGAACATTTATAATCTTCCCTGGAAAAACAGATAACTGGAAAAATAAGTAAAAAAAACAAAATCAGACTGTGTTAATTGGACCATTCAGGAAACAATATTTATGTAATGTAAACCCTGCCTGATGTCCAATTTCAGAATCAACCTATAAATAAAAGAAGACAGACTTTACGGTTATAGAATAGAGTGGATGTTTTAACTCCGGAAATGTAAATGTACAGTTTACAGATAATACAGTATAAAAGCCATAAAAGAGAAGAGAAAGAGAGCCTTTATCATTACTTCATAAAGTATGTGTCTTAGTCTCTTAAAGTTACCAAGAAAGTGGAGTGACATAAGTTAAATCTCTACCTATTATAGGGAAAACTAAGAGAAATCTAAATTTGGTGAGACAAAAATAAAACACACAATACCAACTACTAGAAATGGTGAAAGGCTGTTCAATATGGGATGTGAAATAGCAATCAAGAAAGGGAGACGCAGGAGAATACTGCTTCCTATTATAAACTCTTCTGTGGCATTTTCTAATCATACGAGTACCTGTTACTTTGATATTTTTTAAAGAAATCATTCAAATGTATACCTAGAAATGCAGAAAGTAAGTGAACATAGGAACAGTTTGGTTTGTAATGATAGTGGAATTAGGTACAATATTCTTTCCCTTTTTATATTTGGGTCAGTAATGCTGTTATGGTAATTTTACAAATCATGCAAATTCAAAAAATTTTTAAAGGCAATTAGGCCAGCTATGACTGAAAAACTCCTTAAAGAAATGGGAATGGGGGGGAGGGGAGGGAACAGATGGTCTGTAAATGCTCTTTGTAAACAAAACAAAATGGAGGAGAAAATTAAGACACACAGGTATTTTGCAAGTAATGACCCAAACACTTTCCTTCATTTACCCTTCCCCAGAAATGATATTACAGAATACAAGTTAAATATTTCCCTATTTTCATTACTTGAACTTCCCTTTTTTGAGTTGTCTGTTCTTTGTCCATTCTTCTACTGGTATTCCTACATAACCACATATAAAGAACTATACATTGATAATCCATTGTAGTCACAGTAATATTTTTGTCTGTTGTTTACTCTTTATATAAGCAACTAATCCTTTCGTGCTCAAATCTATTGTTTCATGATTTCTGACCTCTGAGTTACAAGTCAACTCTGATCCCCAATTCAAAGGTTTCATATTTAACTGTATTTTTTTGTAGCTTTTAATTTTTAATAATACATGTGGAATAGATTGTGAATATGGCATGGGGCACACATCTAGTCCTAACAACATATGCTGAACAGACCTTCTCTTTTCCTAAGTGATGTCTCATTTATTAACCAAATTCACATAACAAGATTGATATTGGGGACAGGTTGCTTTGTATTTCTTAAGTTAACAATAACAAACATTCATAATTGATCATTTTTTATCTAATATTTACATCTCACTTGTTTCATGTCTTAATATTTTGGTTCATTTATTTAATGATTTATTAACAATTACTTAAACTTAGTATGTCTAGAATGTTAAGATGTATACTGGTAAATGAAAAAAGGATTCTCTCAGTCTTAAAATATCAAAATATTAATTATGGCAAGAGTGAACAGTATTGTGTTTTGTTGACAGAGTTTGAGCTGAAGTGTGATTTTCACCATGACATCTGTGTATTAATGTCTATTATATATAAATATTTAAATTATGTAAGACCTTGTTCACTTCATCGGTTTTACAAAACTCAACATTTCAAAATATGGGAGAACTATGATATGCCAACAAAGAAAAATTAAAAGTGCTCTTGGAAAACTAAGGGGGAAATGTGTTTCTTTATTTTCAAGGAAAGTCTGTATAGAATAAAAACAAACATTTGTTATGTCATTGAGTACAGAGCTCACATTGCATTTAACCATTTTCATCACACACCTAATGATCTAAAATCAAAATCACCTTAAAAGGCTTATGTCTTTCACTGTCTGCTATATGAAAATCATGTTACCATGTTTCAGTGACATACTATTGCTTTAAAGTCTCCTTTTAAGTAAAAAATGAGACTCAATAATTTCTAAACAAAAGCTTATAAATCCTACTGCCCATTATAGGATCAATAAACACCACACTCAAATTAAGCATTTAGACATGGAACATGTCTAAAACCCCTGAAGAATACACTAGAAATAAGCAAGACATTTAGAATGCTTTAATCTTTCCAGTTAACACCATTTATATCAGTAACTGCAATGTTGTAATTTTTAGCATTTCACATAACTAGTCAGTAAGAATTTTTTTTTTAAGGGTGGGAGTAAGAACGGAAGGACAGAAGATACGAGAGTGTCAGGTTTCACACTTCTGTTAAAAACTCAAAATTGAAAACTATTTTCTTCTCTGCATCAAAACTATACCACAAACTTGAAGGATGTTTTAGCTTTAATCCCATGATTCATCGTCTACTGGATTGGGAGCTTGTGAAGAAGAAAACCCTGCTGTGTTCAAAGTGCTCTTGCCCTGGTAATTCTTTAAAAAGAAAGAAAGAAAAAAACATTTAATTTTATATCATTTCTAAAGTTACATTGCCCAGACTGAGAAAGGGGACTCAAGCTTCCCACCATCTCTTCCCCAAATATATAATAAAAGACTTGATTTTAACTAAATTTAATCCATTTGGGGGAAAAAAAAGGCCCACATCAACTTAGGAAGTCTAAATTGCACAAAATATTTCAAGAAAAAGCTTTCTTAAACCAGTATTTGGCAAGTGGAAAAACTGAAAGCTTAAAAAGCATAAATATTTAATGATTAGTATGCTCAATGCTTCTGACTAAAAGTGCTGCTGCCTTTAAAATGACATGTCAAAAAAGGACATGCAATTCATTATCTCTAGTATTTTTACTTACTTAATAATACCATCAGAATTCTAAAACCAAAGAATTCTTATAGAAGTTTTAGAAGAATCCAAATTAGAATTTTAAATGCTAGCAAATTTGGGAAAGGAGGATGTTTGAGCATAAATATTGTTAATTCTGCACTTTTAAGATCAAAAATACATACATACATAAAATTTTAAGAAGTATTAATCTAGATATGAAAAAAATGGTTTCGAGAATTATTGAATGTTATAGTTACTTCACATTATTAACCACAACATTCACAAAGAGTAACTGGAACCCAGGTTCGGAAATTTTCCCCTCAACCAACCTTTCTAGTGTCAACTGATGCAAACACATTTCCTCTTGCACTACTACCACTGAAGCCAGGAACATATGTACTAAAGGCAATTTCTTCCAACCATGCAGGAACATCCTGTTGGGCCTTTAAAAAAGACATTAATTTCATATACAACATGCATCAAGCCTTAAAGATTGGAACAGTTTACTTATCCTGAATATACATATATATTTAAATGTCTACTTTCAGTGATAAGGTATGATTACTATCCATTCAGTTTAAACATTCAAAACTTACATCTGACAGTACTTTCACTAAAGGCTGTGCCAAATGGTTATCTGATTCAGGATCAAAAAAGGAAATAGCTTGGCCAGTATTTCCACAACGACCAGTACGTCCAATTCGATGTACATATTCATCAATGGTAGAAGGAAGATCAAAATTGATAACATGTTGAACATTTTCAATATCCAGCCCCCTGGCAGCTACTGAAGTAGCAACAAGAACTGGACACTTTCCACAGCGAAAATCTCCAAGAGCTTGCTCTCTCTCTCTCTGTTCTCGGTCACTAAAAATAAAAGCAAACATATGTTAGGACAGTTTTTAAGAAAATTATTACAGTGAACCATTAAAGTTCAACATATATGTTTATTTTTAATAATAGTAAAAATAGCAGCATTTAATATTACTCTCTACTTCTTACATACCAGGTATATACTAATTCTGTTCAAGCCATCATTTAATTCTCACAGTAATACTTTGAAGTGGAACAGTTTACTAGTGCTTTACACTAGTAAAGCACCAATAAAGTTGTATTAATATGACATTTTTATGCAAGTCAATAAAAAGATGTCTAACATGAGAAAGATTGGATTCAGAAGAAAAACTTAGATCTAAGGATTGGAGAGCCTGAAGGAAGCTCTCTTGAAGAGTTAGCATTCCTCATGATGAGGAGTCTAAGACCTTTAATGTCCACCCCATCACCCAGTTGTTACAAAAACTTAAAATGAAAATAACAGTTTAGATCTTGAGAATTCTGAATCCTAATCTTAGGATTATATGATGTTAATTATATACATTGATGTTTCTTAACAAATGACAAATACAAGTGTCACCTCCCTACTGTGAAAACATATTAATCTACTCACCCATGAATACTTGTTGTTGATATTTTTTCTTGACAAAGAAAAGTAGCAATAAAATCTGCTTTTTTCTTAGTCTCAACAAAAACCATAGTTCTTTCATCACCTATAAGACAATGAAACAGTGATTAACATTCAAACTACAAAATTAGGGCAAGGAAAAAAAGACAGAGTTATTAGTAGGAAATAGTCTCATCCACCACTGTATCCCCAAGACCAAGACCAGGCCTGGTAGGTAATAGAAACTCAAATAATTCCTGAATGAATTAATATCAAAGTTAAAGAATTAAGGACGATTTTTTCTATTTTAGGGACCAAAAAAAAAAAAAAAAGATAGCTTACCCACTGTCCTCCCAGGCCAACACCAAGGTAGAGACTTAGAGCAAGATAAATGATATCTACCTGCCAACTCTTAGCAGTTCATTTCAGGATCTTCATTTCCTCTCTAGTTAAATAAATGCCTTTGTTCCCTACCTCCCAAGGTAATTCAATCATTCATTCTGCTTTGATTGCCCTAAGGATTTATAAGGCATCCAACACAAGATTGACAAATACTACAACATTCCATGTTCCAACATTCTCTTAATTCAAACCCCTTTATTCCCAAAATTTCATATATCAAGAAAATTAATAAACTTTATCCTAGGGTCTTACAAATCAAAAATATTTATTGGTTAGCTGAAAGTACTTAATTGGTAGAAACTCAAGCATAACCCAGAGATTTTTTCACCTATTATAAAGAGGATAATTTATAGTAATGGAAAGAAGATTGTATGACTACCCATAATTCCTCTCCTCCATTTCCCTATTAGTTGGCTTCACTTATTCAACAAATATTTAGTGCCTAAGAGACGCCAGTCACTATTCCAGGTGCTGGAAATGCTGCAATAAAATAAAGTCCCTGCTTTCATTGTGGAGAGGCAAATAATAAACAAATATTATGCATTAAGTCCTAAAAAGGAAAAAAGAAAAACACAAGGATAGTCTCAAGAGGGTTACTTCAGATGTACCCTAATTAGATGACATCTAAGTAGAAATAAGAATAAAACAATATAGTGAACTTCTCAAATAACTGGGGAAGCACAGTACAAGGCAAAGGGAGGGACAAATATAAACACTCCTGAGTTATGGGTGTTCCTGATGTGCTAAAAAGAAAAAAAACAAACAGAAAAGAGGTACAAAGGCCTTGAAGCAGAAGTGTGCCTTGTGCATGTAAGGAACAGTAATGAACATCTGGGTGGAGTAGGATGAGCATGAGAGCTTCAGAACATGAAGACAGAGAGGTAATGGTGGTCAAGTCACGGGAAGGACACTGAAAGAAATTCTTTTGAGAAGGGAAGCCCCTGGTTTTGAACAAAGAAGTGACAAGATCTAATGTTTGTTTTATCTGAGGAGCTAATAGATGCTGAATATATTTTGATGGTAAAATTATTTACCACCAAAATTATTTTGCTAACAGACAAGACATATGCAGTTAGACAAAGAAATGAAGAATGACTCCAAGACTTTGTATCTGAACAACTGGAAAAATGGAACATTAACAAGAGACCTTCAAGAAAAAAAGGCTCAGAGGAAGTACTTCATTAAGTCTCAGGTCTACTAACCAAGCAGAAAAATCAAAATGGCAACTGATTCCTACAGTAATAAGTCAGTTAAATCTTAGTCATTTTTAGAACTAAAAACAAAGAATTCATTTTTTGGTGGAGTAAACACAGTTTAATGTAAAGATATGTTAGTAGGCCTTTTTACTTCTTAAAACAAAAAATATATACATTTCACCCAGAATAGTTTTTTGTCAAATACTGTTTAAATCTCAAATCCTTCCTATTTTTAATCTTTATGAAAAGAGGACTATATAATTTACACAGGAAATTGAATCATAAAACCTTTTATAAAAGAAAGCTTTAAAGAAAAAGCAGTAAAAACACACAGATTTAAAAACTTACGCCAAACAATTTTTAAAGTAATTTTTAAAAATTAGTCATTTAAAAAAAATCAAAATCATGAAAAAAAATAATTATATCAATTTAAGGTACCTATGTTTCGTAGAATTTCAACAAGTTTTTCTCTTTTGGAGTACTGGCCAACTTGGAGAATTGTCTGCTGAACATCTCTACATGCTCCACCCACTTGTCCAACAGCAACAAACAAATAATTCGACTTTAAAAACTCCGCAGCCAACCTTCAAAGACAAAAGATTATTCCTTAACTTATCCTCTTCCATTAATACTCATTATATGCACTGAATTTCTGCAAGTGTTACTTCAATATTAGACTGTAACAACTCTAATAAGGTAAGTAACTATGTCATCCAAGTACTAATTCCAAAGATCAGTATAAAATGTTAAGATTTTATTAAATACTTAACAACTGTTAGTGAAAAAGTTTGTGTCAAATTATGGTTACAGGAAGTTCAAGTGATGTGGAGGCCATGTAAAACTATGTAAAATGTGTATGTTATATAATAAAAATTGTGCTTAAATATCAGACTACAATAAGCAGGAATTTTTGTTAAAAGCTGAAATACAAGCCTAGGGCAAAAACTCTGTTCTTCACAAATACTTTTATGTATATTATTGCTAGGAGTTATTTTCTGATAATATTATTTGTTAAATTACTATACTTTCGACAATTATGAGCAAACCAGATCTTAGGTCAGTGCTTTTCATGTCATAACACATACCAAAAATGGTTAACACTTATAGAGCACAACTGAGTAAAAAAAATCAGACAAGAGGTGAAGGGTCTAGGGGCTGATGCTCACCCCAAAGGTTGAGAGTATCAGCATGTTGACACACACATAACTCACTGACAGCGCACAATTAAGGTCTGCTTTAGATCATCCAGAAACATAGTGAGCGGAGAAAGGGAACTGCCAATCAAAGAGCTGAGTTTTTAGGAATTAAGGAGGAGGTCCAAATCTATCATCAGTCCTCCTCTCTCCCATTTAGCAGTCCCTTACTTTCTACATGCCTCCTAAAATATCATGAAAATAGTTCAAACATAGCATTTCCAGAATTTTAATAAATCATTGCTGTTTCTTTCTCCTCACCTGCCCTTACAATAAAAGAAAAAGAAAAGCTTCATTTTGAATCCCTCCTGCCAGAATCAAGCCCCTCTCAACCACAAATTTCAACACCACCTCAAATTCTTTATTATCCACCATCCTTTTCATTTGCTAAAACATTTAGTGAGTGTCAGGCACACATGGTGCAAGGTACTGGGAGTACAAAGATGGATATAATGTTCTCTGCCACTGAGATGCTCACATCAGTAAAATAAACATAGTTATATAAAAAATAATTACTATATTTTTAGTATTTAACATTTAATATTTGTATAACCACATATTAAACACTTTAATATTTAATATATTTAATATAATATTCTAGTTTTAATAATTAACACCTACTGAATACTTCCCATATTCCCAAAAATGTGCAAAGTGTCTAAAACAGTTTCACAAGTACAATGGCAGGAAATAGATGAAATGATGTGTATTTGGAAGAGTTTTCAAGTTGAAGCCAATAGGAAATAGTTTTTAGTAGACAAGAAATACATGATTTCAAGCAATAAAGTAGCAGGTGAAGCAAAGATTACATCATGTGTAGAATCTGAAAGATGGTTAGTCAGTCTGTGGAGATGGGAAGACATGAGAGTTTATTTATACATTTTTTGTTTTGTTTTCTTTTTTTTTCTTTTTTTATGTTATGTTAGTCACCATACAGTACATCATTAGTTTTTGATATAGTGTTCCATGATTCGCTGTTTACGTATAATACCCAGTGCTCCGTGCAATATGTGCCCTCCTTAATACCCATCACTTGGCTAACACATCCCCCCACTCCCCTCCACTCTAAAACCCTCAGTGTGTTTCTCAAAGTCCATAGTCTCTCATGGTTGATCTCCCTCTCTGACTGGGAGGGTTTATTTTGAATAAATGTCTAAAAAAACCCAGACTTTATTTTGGAATCATTACTAACATAAAATTGAGATTAGAGTCTGGGGAGAAAGGTTAGAAAGCCACTAACAACGAGAAGGAAACTGAAAAGGACTTAAAGTGGGAAACAGAAAAGAAACTAACAGATTTGAAATATTCTAGAGATAACTACCAAAATGAGTATTTTTGAAGGGAGAAAGTTAAAATTGTATGAGGGAGGAATCAATAGTATTCAAAGGATTTTGGTTTAGAAAGACTATGCTGCCAATAAGGAAAACTGGATAGGAAAGAGGGTACTGAAGAATAGCTTCCATTTTGGATATAATGAACATTAGTTACTAGTAAATATTTTAAGAAGAAGTACTCTTGTTTGTTTGTTTTATTCAAAGATTTTATTTATTTATTTGAGAGAGAGAGAGCATGAGCAGGAGGTGAGAGGGTGAAGCATGAGAGGGAGAAGCAGATAACTTGCTGAGCAGGGAGCCCGATGTGGGACTGGATCCCAGGACCCTGAGATCATGACCTAATCTGAAGGCAGACGCTTAACTGACTGAGCCACCCAGGTGCCCTAAAGAAGATATTCTAGAAAGTTAAAACCTTAAGTCTGGTGGTCAGGAAAGAGATTAGGGATACAGGTAATAAATGTGGGACAGTTACAGAAGAAAACGTAAGCCACAGAAATGGATGCTGCAATGGTTTAGTGACATGTACAGCGATAAAAGTGTACTTTCAACACAGTAATGAGCAGCTTATAACATTTGAAAGCAGAGAGTGAAGCAAGTGAGGAGACTTCAGTAATTTAAGACTGTAAGTAACTCAAGGTTAGGGCCTCTATTTTGTTTACCATATATCCCCAGGACTTATAATCAAATGTGGCTCATAAAAAGTACTCAACAACTGTTAGTTATGAGAGTATGCATTAGTCATTTTGACTGGCCAATATCCAAATACCTTCCTATTTCAGGGTGAATCAAAAAATAGGCAACAGGGTGGCTGGGTGGCTCAGATGGTTAAGCGACTGCCTTTGGCTCGGGTCATGATCCTGGAGTCCTGGGATTGAGTCCTACCTTGTGCTCCCTGCTCCACGGGGAATCTGCTTCTCCCTCTGACCTTCTCCCCTCTCATGCTGTCTTTCTTACTCCCTCTCTCAAATAAATAAATAAAATCTTAAAAAAAGTAAAGGCAACAGAATATTTAAGTATTTAAGTAGGTAGTTACCTATCCACTATTAAATGCCAAAAATGAAGATGGAAATGCAGATATCACTTTTCAAATTTAAGACACCATTTAATATAAGAAACTACTATTTTATATACTACTAAGAAAAAAAATCCTGATCAAATGTTTTCTTATTTAGACATTTTCCGCCATAAAAAGCTCTTTTTAACCTTACACAGAGACATTTTAAATCATCTCTTAAGTAAACCAAATCAATAGCCAGTCCTACTATCTGATGACTTTGAAGTGTTTGATCCCATGTAACACTCTATCAGACAAGGAGACCTACTTTACAGCTAAAGAAGTAATGGAGCAGGCCCATAACCATAAGGTTATGATTAGGTCTATAGGTCATATCATACCCCTGAGTAAGGAAAGGGTTAAGATATAGGCAGGGAAAGAAAGGGGGCCCCTGGCTAGGCTCTGAGACTATTCCAGGCAGGCAGAAGCACTAAGACAGAGTGAACAAGGTATAAGGAAACAGACTACCTGGCCCTGGATGTTAGGGAGTATTTTTCTTTGGTGGCTACCAAGTATCACAGAAAATGGCCAAGCCTCAAAGAATTAAGTCATTAAGGGCATTAACAATGGTCCTTGCTCAAACCAAGATGACCAAAGAATCTGAAGGACACAAGTTTTCCAGTCAGTTCTCAATGAAAGACTGCCATTAAAAGCCATCAGTGGCAACCTGTTTGGGACTCCTCCCACTCTAGAGAGCTTTCTCTGTATCCTTACTTAATAAAACTCTATTGTTTTACTCACTCTCCTTTGTCCAGGAGTCATTCTTCAACTCTGTCAGACAAGAACCTGACTCTCTCGCTTCACTACAACACTCAGAATCTGTCACCCTGACAGAAAGTGGAATGTCCACTTAAAGAACAGCTCACAGGCCAGCTTGGAAGTGTTTCTTTACAAAGACAGCACATCATTCAACATGGCACAGTAACTTTCAATCAGAAATCTTTATATAGTGCACTCAGTCTGAGAGCCAAAGGGTTCAAGCAAGAGTGGCCCCCTTACCATCACTCCCAGTGACCCACATAGGAAATCTGTGCTTCCCACTCCCCCTCAAGCTATAGATTCTGCAGATATGGAGGTCTTGGTTCCCAAAAACCAAGAAGCTCTGTCAGAGTCAACACGAGGAGTCTTTAATGAATTACAAGCTAAAGTTGCTTTCTGGTCATTTCAGGCGCCTTGTGGCCAAGGGAGCAGCAAGCAGGAAGAACAGTCACAATTCTAGAAAGGATGTGTCATCCTAATCTGAGAATTCACCAAGCCATATAGTATATGGAGTAAGATATTCAATATGTGTCAATAATTGGTACATGAATTTTCTAAGAAAGGCCCAATTTTCCCAAGCTACGTAATTTTGATTCGAAAAGAAGACACAAACATAAAAGTAACTTCATTCAGTAAACACTTAATAAATCCTAGTTAGCTGCTGTGTAATCACACACATATACACATTTTAACAAAATGTGACACTAATGCAAAGCCAGCTAATAAAGGCAAGAAACAATGAAAAATACAGTAAACTTTTTAGGAACACATCCATTTCTATGTTAAAATCTTAACATTTAAAAAAAAAACCTCAAAAGTAATATATTTGCATTGCTTTTCCTTTCATAAAAGCATTTATGCACAAAACAACTATTTTTAAGAAGAAAAAAAATGTTACCTTTGAATTTCTTCTGGAAAAGTTGCACTAAACATAAGGGTTTGACGCTGTTCTTTTGATGGCATTCCAGGGCAAGAAATTAACTTCTTCATTTCTGGTCCAAAACCCATATCCAGCATGCGATCAGCTTCATCCAGAACTAAATATTTGACTTGTCTGAGACCAATCTTTAAGAATATTTTTAAGAGTTAGAGCAGAAAATGCATACAAATCAACATATTAAACTAAAACGTTCCTCACAATTCTGACTACTAATTTATTGTTAGCATGAAGATTAGAAATCAATGCATAAAATAATGAGAACTGTTATGCTTAGATAACACTAGTATTGTTTAAATACTGATGAACAATTCCTAACATGTTAGCCACTAGCTATTAGTACTTAAACCTACAGCTTAAGTACTTAAGTACTTAAACCATGGCTACTGTGTGTAAAGAACAGAATTTTTTATTTTACATCATTTTTAAATTTGTATAACCTACATGTGGCTGCTGACTACCGGACTGGACTACTGTAGAGATGTACAGCTTATTATCTGATAAAATCAGTCTTTAACGTAAGGAAAAATTTCCTAACAGCATGACATATTCAAACGTCTTATAAGGGGTAAATTTAGCTCTTAATGAATTCTCCATTCTCTAATCACTTGGGAACAACTGAGAAACTTCTGTCACCTTCACAGGAATACTTATACTATAAGGAGAAGGAGACATTTTCAAGAAAAACAAATGAATTTGGCATAACCATGTAGGTTGTTTAGTGAGAAATCAAGGTGGATTTCTCTGGATAGTCTAAATAAGTATCCAAAGAAAACTACCTTTATAAAGAAAGACCATGTTTTGAGTAATCCCTTTAGAGAAGAGCCTAAAAAAAAGCAAAGGAAGTTCATCAAAGTGAGCTTAAAGCACTGACTTACAGATGTGATAAAGTTTTACATGAATACCTAAAGTAAGTACATAAACTTAAATATGTTTTTAAAGGCTCAGAAATTGTAACAATCCTGGTTAACATCATCCTATGCTTAAAAAAAGACAAATGCTAATAACCAGGCTTTCTTTTATGAAAAAAAGATGTCATCATGACTTACATGAAACTAGATAAAAGCATTTACTCCATTTCTCCCAGTGTAGTGGAATATGGGATATAGACTTGAGTCAGATCCAGCTTCTAGCCCTAGCCTATCACTAGAGCTAAGTGAGGGATTTTAAACAAATTACATAATCTCATTCACTGTCTTCTCAAATACAAAATAGGAAATACTATTTATCTACTGTTGGAGTTATTTTAATAATTGTGTAAGAATGCATTCAAAGAGTGGCTCCAGGGTGGCACAGTTAAGTGTCCAACTCTTGGTTTTGGCTCAGGTCATGATGGAGCCCCGGGCTCAGCACAGATTCTGCTTAAGACTGTCTTTCCCTCTCCCTCTACCCTTCCCACCCCATGCTCACTGTCTCTCTAAAGTAAATAATATACATCTTTAAAAAAAAAAAAAGAATGCCTTCAGAGAATCTGATGGGTGCCTAACATAAACAATACTCTAATAAATCCTTAACTCTTTGCATCATCTTTCCTTTTCCCATTCAAAAGAAATTATATCAATCCACAATTTTATTACCCGTCTAGGGCCTACCTTTTCTTTACCTATGATATCCATCAGTCTTCCAGGAGTAGCACATAATATATTACAACCTTGTACTATTTGTCGAATTGAATGCCCCAACTGGGTTCCCCCATATATAACAACGGCTCTTACACAGGTCCTATTAACAAGAAAAATGGATGTTATTTTCTAGTTATGTGAAAATTATATACTTGTTTCTAATAAGATATTTAAAAAAACCCATAAAGAGAAAACCTAATACATTCAACTACCTGAAAAAAATTAAACTCCTCCTAGGAAGAAGTTGAAAAGCAAATGACAAATGATGGGGAAAAAACCCTGGAATATATCCAATAAAGGGCTCTTTGGGGTGCCTGGGTGGCTCAATGGGTTAAGCCTCTACCTTCAGCTCAGGTCATGATCTCAGGGTCCTGGGATCAAGCCCCATATCGGGTTCTCTGCTCAGCAGGGAGCCTGCTTGCCCCTCTCTCTCCGCCTGCCTACTTGTGATCTCTCTCTCTGTCAAATAAATAAATAAAATCTTTGGAAAAAAAGGGGGGGGCTCTTCAAAAACAATAGTAAACACCAATACCACCTCATAAAAATTGGCCCAAAACTGGGTGCCTGGGTGGCTCAGTGGGTTAAGCCTCTGCCTTCGGCTCAGGTCATGATCTCAGAGTCCTGGGATCAAGCCCCGCATTGGGCTCTTTGCTCAGTGGGGAGCCTACTTCCCCCACACACACCCCACCTGCCTCTCCGCCTACTTGAGATCTGTCAAATAAATAAAATCTTTTTTTAAAAATGGCCAAAAACATGAACAAGTGGTTCATAAAAAATACAAAATGGCTTTCAAACATTTTTTTAAGGTCAACATTACTGTAAAAATGAAGACAAATGAAGACAAACACATTTTTCCTAAAGTTTAATAATACCATGTTAGCCATTTCACAATTTTTTTTTAAAGATTTTATT